TATCTTCATGGTGTACGTATCCTCCTTCATCCCTAGAACGCGGAAGGCGTGGCCGCGTACTTCATTTGAACATGAAGTAGGGTGGTTCGTCAGATATTTCATTCTGAGATATATGTCGTCTTGTCTTGTGTTCGACAAAAGACGTGGTCACGATTGTCCCAAAATGAGAATATCTCACCAGACAAGCAGTCACGTCTAAGTCCAAAGGGAGCATAGGGTCACGCCTACCGCATGGGGGATTTGACGTTTGTAGTTGGCGTCGTCGCAGCCAGTCGGGGCGGCGTCATGAAGTGTGGGTAGGCGGGTGCCCCTGACTCCGCCGGATCCTTTTTCTACCAATAGTGACTGGTAAGAAAACACCAGGGATGGAAACTTTCGCTGTCTCCCGACTAACGCCCCTGACTTAACAACTGTATGTCACCCGCTGCAATCTGGCAAGTCCGGAATTCTGTGCTTTCCGTGGAAAATACTCTAAGTTTAGAATTGGTAAGAAATTGAAAGAAATGCTGAACTACGTTTATATCAGGCGTTCTGTTATTCGTGGGAGCAGGCCAGAGCGCTCTCCCGATAAAGAAAACAGTTACCTCGTGGATTTTACGAATCCGCCGATTGAGTTCTTTCGTGATGTAGATGTCGTTTTCTGAGTCTTTAAGTTGATGCAAGTACATCAGCTCAACATCTCTTGACGGCCATGACACTGCCCTGTATAGTTCCTGTAACAACACACCGTCTGAATAGCGCCCAAGCTTTTCATTCTGTACTCACCTCATCTACATAATTAATGTTCTTCCGCAGCTTACGCTGTCCTTGGAACCAGCCGACTGGCTCGTTCGCGATGTGCATATCGCCAAAGTGCATCACATGGGATAAGTTTGTAAGGCGTTTTACCAATCTGTACTGGTCTTCAAGCGTTTCAACGTTGATATCTTCCTGAAAGGAATGTATTGACAGTTCCATGTTGATGTTTGGCTCTTCTTATCTGCGATAGACAACTACTCTCCACCCTTAATCGAGTGCTATATCCTCAAAACATGCATTGTTGAGAGCTGATGACCTAGACGCAGGGTACAGCATCGTTGTGTGAATTAAATGGGGGGGGGGGGGTCGTAACGGAAAATCTCTGGGTGAAAAACTGGAAAAGGGAAATTGGTAGGTAGGTGTTGGGGAAGGAAGTGGGTCGCACCGAGACCACCATTTCACACATCACGATGCGGTACCCTGCCTGGACGACGGCGCTGTAACGATTACGATGCATATCGGTAGCACCTTTTTTTCTTGAATTTCAATGACCCTGTGCCACTCAGAGATTTAAGGGTGCCCTTTTCCATTTGCTGACTCATAAAGTAGTCGTAGATGGTACAGCAGAAACTTAGAACTTGAAAGTGGCATCATAATCCCCAAAACGTGTAAGGTTAATATGCGTAGCAGAACAGAATTTGGCGCCTCTAAGCAGGCGCTGTGGCGCTTTTTCCAAGGAGGTACCCTTGATGCCTCCTATCAAGCTGCAACATACCGACCCGGACGCCCACCGCGCCCGCCCGCCCACAAATGTCCGACCGATGCTGATGCTCGTATCGCTTCATTTGCGAAGTACAATATGAAGGGAAGGACTGATATGAAGCAGCTGCGCTGCTGCAAGATATATGAAGATATACATGGAGCAGTATCTCTCGTAGCTGTCATCGGCACGTGCCAAAGGGAAACACTTCCGAAATCACGCCGTGTCCTACCGTCAATGTAGAAAAAGGTTGTTTTCGCCGGATCTGTGACAGTCTGGTTTCAAACTTGGACGGTATCTGCCACTCTCGAACTATACCAGAACCATTGTCAACGTCGGTTTTAGACTGAAAAACGACACCAAATAATACCCTTGTGGTCTTGTCTTCAACGAATGTAGTAGGTTCAGCAACATCCGAATACCAACGAAAGACGACCAAAAGACTACGTACACATGTCAGGATGCAACAATCATTATATCAAAAAGAACCAGTGCATCCAAAGCGCACACGCTGAGGCGTTCAAGTCGACCAAGCCCACAAACACTTTGCGAATTATGCCGCTTCTGGGATTTCAGGTAACCCCAAACATTGCAATTTGCCCGCTTCGCGTGCGGCTCGCACTTCGCCGGGCCACTCTCACGTCACCACGATATATTTTGTCTGATTCTATTTAGGTTATTTTGCTAAGTCATTCCTTATATCCATTTTTATTCTTTTCTTCTCCTTATTTTGTATTTCTTATTCTAGTTAGATTTGATATTTACAGTGAGAGTCGTTTTCTGTTTATTTATTTGTTACTTTTTTTTTATTTTTTGTTTTTTTTTTTCAAACTATTTTCTATTTCTGCTTACTATCCCATCTAGATTGTGGATTTTAAGGCTGACATTGTCACTGTTTTCTCCTACTTATTCATCGTCTAATACTATATTATTTATTAATTCTTTCTGTCTCATTGTTTGCTTTTTTCTTTTTATTTTTTTTTTGGCTTATTTTTGCGCCTTAATTTTCTTTTGTTTAATATCTTTTGATTTATTTTGATAGCGAAATCGTATGCAGATACAAGTCCATACGCATGTGAGTTTCGGATAAGGCAAGGCCAGTAAGCGGGACTAAGCCCGCCTTTGCTCCCTTACATCTACACAAGTTGTATGATTATCAGGTTTAAAGGAACAATAGTATGAAACGCCGCGGTGACTAAAAATCAATCACTTGTGAAGGAGCGTTCATTGTTACAGACTGTGACAGATAGAACAGTGCTGCAAATGCAACGAACGGTGGCGAAAACGGTGGTGAACAAACTTTTTTTTTTTGGGGGGGGAGATTGGTATATGACGTGAAAAGTTTGTAATGCTACAGTGTCATAGAATGCCACGCAGAACAACAGAGCAGAGAAACCAAATGTGACACGATCGAAGGGACGGAGTGGCTGGTTAGTCCATACACCTCTCATCACACACCCGGATGTCCTGAACTAAACATTCTTGAATGTGAAACTTCGTAGCCAAATCGCTGCCGAAGAGTGCGCTGTGGGATGAACCAGACCCGCTAGCAAGCTGCTTCGAGTCAGAATGACCAAAGCCCTCCAAAGGTATCATTTTTAGAGGCAAATAGGAAAAGAGAATACACTGCCTGTGTAATGCTCTCATACCACCTGAAGCTATTGGTTTGTTTTTTCATCGCATACAAATGCCCTAAACTTCACTAATATGCCCCTCCCAAGCATGAGACGGTACAAATTTTACCTTATCTGAATCATTCATCCAATTCACCGAGAACAGATCGCCGAGGCATGGTAGCCGCATGTCGTTCTCACAGTACGTGCCCCACGAAGACTCGTGAGAGTTTGCTGCCGTTATCGCGTATACTGAAAGAATCATCTCAAATTTACTCTCAATGTAGGCAGTAAGGTAACAAGCACCAGCGGAGCTCACGTGGCCTGTTGGCTCTTGCACCTGCTCATCGACTCGAACAAAGGGCAAGGTATGGGACTCTCGGTCGGGGCAAATGATCTCTGACAAAAGAGGACTACATGTAAGGCAGCGTTCAGACTTTGCGGTGACGCGCGTCGACGCACTATAATTGCAACTACGCTCCTACGCTATAGATGCGAATGCAGCCGCAAACGGGTATTGATCGGCTGCTTATGTATTGAGAGAGGCTGTTGCAGGTGAACGTGAACAGAAGGGCTGCTGCAATTGTAGCGCGTCGTCGCGCGTAATCGCGAAGCTTGAACGCTGCCGAATCTTATGCTGCGCTACCTACCCCTTGTAGCCCGGTTTACAAAGTAAGGGTCAGAATTTCAGTTGTTTTGACCAATGGTTTCCTAGGGCACGCCACTAAACATAAACCGCCCGCCTGGAGTCCGTGCTATCCGCGCTGGAGCCAAAACACGCATGTTGCGTCTGTGTAGCGGTCGCTCTCTTCTCTGCCGAGCGAGTGGGATAGGATACACGTGTTCAGAAGATTAAAGTACCCCTGCAGACAAGTTTTCAGCGGGCTGGGAGGTTTGGGGCAAATTGGCGCTGGGCAGTTTTGGGCCAAGTGGTTGCCTGGCCGCTGCAAACCGCCAAACCACTCTCCGGAAGCACCGTTGGGGCCACGTAACGCTCGACGGACCTCTGTCAGCACCTCTGGTGTAACTGAAACTTACCATTTATGGTGCTCTTCAGAACATTCTCGAACATCGAACCGCTTTCACAGGACTCCAGGTAGAATACCAGCTGATTGTAGCGATCATTGGAGTGCATCCAGTTCAGGGCACTGTTCAGTTCTTTCACAGTCAACTGCAACAGTACGTATCGTTCACGAAGGGGAAAAAGAAATCACAAATATCTAAAAAAAGTAGGAGCGTTCACACCATCTCATCCGGGAACGCTATGAGGCCCACGGCT